GTTTCCTTCTGAGCTCTTTTTCTTTTCTGAATTCGAGTCAGGTTAAGGCCTTCTTTATAGTCCTATTATAGAAAATGTGATGTGCAGCCAGGTTTTAAAACATTATATTAACAAGACAATAAGGCAGCAGGGGCACTGCACACAACTGTGAGGCAATAAAAATCATAAAAACAACAATGGAGCAGTAAAAACAAAGCCACTTTAAAATTTATATAATAACAATATGAAGTATAAAAGAACAAGATTTTTATCAGAAGGGGGCAGCATATAGTGCAAATCACCATAACAGCAGCAATACAGCGGTTTTGTCCTCAGAGCAGGTGATATAGAGTGTCGGGTGGAGTGGAAAACTGCCTCTTGGAGCTCTTAGAACTCAGACAAAGAATTAGTTTTTCAAAGTGCAAAACAGAAACACAACTTGTTATAGTAAAAATCTGTTGGTCAGATTTTTTGGAAAACGTGTTCCAGGATATTAAACATGCCGTCTGTACACGTGCATCCAGTAGCTGAAGGATAAATGCATGTATGGGTCAAGGATTATGGACAGATGAATAAATGATAAACTTTTATTTTAAACTCACAGCCTAAAGGTAAGAGCTCCCAGCCTTTGTTCAGAGTGCTCAGTATATGATGGCAGTATTGAATGTGTTTGGCCTTCCTTAAGAACTGCTTGTTGTAAATATCCCTCAACTGGGCTTGACTCAACCCGCCTGTCCTGCTTGACAATCCTGTCAGCTTGTTCTTAATGGCCTTGTGTTGTGTAGCTCGTGTTCCTAATGCCAGAACAATGTGATCAGTTCATTATTTTTGCCTTTATCATCTCTCTTAATTGTGAGCTTTCTCTTCTCATCGCCTCATCGCGCCTGTCTTGTTTTATTTTCATTTGTTTTTTTTGGCTGGTGGAGTTAAGGAGGATAAATTGATGAAGAGAGGGGGGTGAGGGACGGGGAGATAATGAAGGAGAGCCTCCTGGTCTGTATATTTGGTTGTCTTTAGCTCTATTTCCTCTGTTGTTGTTATGTCCTGTGGGTTCAAGGTCTCTTCTCCATCAGCATCCCTCTCTCTTCCTCCCTGCGTCCTTCTCTCTCTCCACTCTGCCTGACTCTACCATAAATCCACCAACACACACATCTTCACACAAACACACACACACACACACATGCACACACATATACACACACCAATCAATACAAGCATGCTTGGCACTGCCAAAGTCCAAAATGACTATAGATTTTCTGTCGACTCTGCCACTAAATTATGCAAACCTCTGGTTTATGTTCCGGTACTTTTTTTGGTGTTCCTGCTCCAGAATGGGATGGGGTTTTCCACTGAGGCAGACATGGAAAGATACAGGTGTGGATAGCGGTAGGAAAGACTTCTTGACGAGATCAAATAAATTGTTTTTGACAACACTTTCCGCTTCTGGTTTGGCACACAATAATTGCAAAGTGTATACTGCTACGGATTTTGAAATCAATAACGTGTATTAAGATCATTGTAAATGTCCTGCTGAGGTCAGGATTTTGTTTAAGTGGTGAATAATGTGCTCCGGATGTTGGAGTTTTGCAAGCTCACACTCAGACATCACATACACATCTGCTACTACACACACAGACTTAATCAATGATTAAAACAGTGTTAGATGGTAAAGAAAAAAATAGATCCCAAAAAACCACTCAGCCTGGGGTAAAGTTCTAAATGCAACCTGCAGTAGATTTTTAAAAATAGTATATCTACATACTTAAAATTGGTATTGATTACAGTCAAGGATTAATGTAATGTTAATGTAATTCATTATATATTCCTTATATATTGGTAAACACATGCAAAGAAGAGAGAAAAGTCCTCCACACTCTGGTGTGGGAGTCAGCAAACTAATATGTGTTGACAGTTAAGTGAAATTTGAGCCGGCACGAAACTTCAGATAAATTTTGATCAGTTTAACTCTAATCATTTGCATCGAAAATACAAGAAGTGCTAAACAAATGTCAACAGATTTTTAGTGATTAAAGCATGGGAAGCTGCAGTAGCTTTACCTGCTGCAGCAATATTATCATCAGCAGCCACTAACCTCTGTTTGATGTAACTTGTCTGCACCACTGATGACTTCTTGTTTTAAGGAAACACTAAATAAAGAGCCAAGTGGAGACAAGGTGATACTCTAAGATGAGCTGTTGAGGACAGAAATGTCGAAGCGTCTGTGTATAGGATTGTGCTCGTGTTTGAGTGAATTTATGCAGGTGCTGTGGGTTTTACGGCTCCATGCATGAACGTTTGTCCGTGTGCAAAATTTGCATAATGTGTGTATCTGTGCTTCTGCCTGCTTGAGTGTGTGCACGTGTGTGCTTATTTCGGTTGTGGGCTAATAGTTTGTCTGGCCCGGCCTGTGACAGGGCCATCAGTAACTCTAAGGGGAAATTGAAATGATCGGCTCATTCAGTCTCCCAGCAACTCCATTACCCCGAACCTCACAATCAAACACACTCGCAGACAGACACACTCCTCATTTATACTCGGCTTATCTCTCCATCAGTGTCACTCGCTCGTTGCTTTGTCTGTTATCTCTTTCGCCTAACTTTTCCCTCTACATCTCACTGACTCACATTTTAATGTCTTTTAAGTTCAGTCCTCTTTCTTTATTTCACTTCCTTTTTCATCCTCTCTGTCTGTCCGTCTCCAAACTCCCATATGGCACTTTAAAAAAAAAAAAAGTCTGTTAAAAAGTATTTGATTGGATATGTGTGTGTGACACTGATGGACTGCATAAGAAAAAAAGACCTCTGTTTGCCCAGAAAAGCATTAAGGCGGATTTGGGAAGGCTGATTTGGAACGGACTCTCACAGCGGAAGAAAGTTCAGGGAGGTTTGGAGTCGAGCTACGGTTATTCTTTCACCGATCGTCTTTTCATGAAAGACGAATTGAGAGGGAAAGACAAACAGAAAGAGAGGAGAAAAAATAAATAAATAAAAAAGCTCCTTGAAGCAATCATTGATCACCAGTCAAAGTCCTTGATTCTGTCTAATGAGCTGCTTGTTCCTTCTGGGAGGCAGAGTAATGAGAAAAACAACACTGGCTGCTGCACTGAGTAAAGGCAAACAGCCAAACAAGATATTTTTATGATGCTGGTGTGTTTCTGTAGCGACTTTTTCGTTTCGTTGAAGATTCAGTAAGACAGCGTTTCATTGAGTTTATGTGTCGTGTATGCACTCAGTTACACTTAAAAGGGACACTTTTTTTTTATTCTGAGACCCTTTTCATAGTTATTACGTGGGAAGCATATAGATCGCTATGTAATGAATATTAAACACCTCGGAATGAAAAACCAAGTAACCACCGGAGTGCAGGCATTTGTCTTAATGCGGTAATACATCTCATAGATGTAATACATTTCTTTAAGCTCACAAGCCAGTCTGCCATCTAATAGATGCAATATATTATTCCATGCCTAGCTTATTGTGCAATTATGGATCAAAGTAAAAGAAGTAAAAGTGAGGAATTCTGCCTGTTTGACTGTAAAAACACACACACACACACTCATAAACAAACACACCAAGATGATGCTTGTCGATGCTCGGTGCCCTGATGTGACCCTCTTGGCTCATCAGGAAGAACTGCTCCACTTAAACTTTGTTGCTCCTTTGTAATTGAATTAGTCTGCTCAATTATGTAGAGGCAGGCCTGTCCTCATTACGCAGCACTATTAAAACGCAAGAATGGAGCCAAGGGGAGGAGAGCAGCTGGCGAAGAGTTGGGAGCGGAGCTAAAAGTCATTTTAGTGAAAAGTGTAAAGTTTCACTGCTCCGATCTCCGACGTGGCTGCCACATCTGTGCAACTGTGCCGTCGTTACTTGAATGATGTCCCTCTGTGTCGTCTTTGCTTTACCTCTCTCTCTCTCTCTCTCTCTCTCTCTCTCTCTCTCTCTCTCTCGCTTTCTGTGCTTCTGGGCCTAACGCCTAGAAAAATGCTAAGGCAGCAGATTTGGCTGACTTCTTCCAAAGCTTACTTTACTAACTTCACAAGAAAACATCAAACCGAGCCAGAACGCTGCCAAACCACTTGCTTGAGGGGTCCCTGAGCTCAGCACAATGATCCGACACACATTCACTTATATTTGCGTGCACACACACACACACACACACAAACTTGGTGGATCCCCTCTCATGTCCTGTGTCTGCATCAAAAGCCACATATCTGAGATGCTAACTGCCTTCTTATTTGACTTACTTGACTCTGTGTTTTTCCCTCTTGTCTCCCTCTCACACAGGATCAGCTGAAGAGCCTCCAGAGCGGCTACAAGCATGTTAATGATGAAGGTTTCCAGCTGCAGAGGTGGGTTTGCTCTAACAAACACACAGTAATAAACACAGAAGGAGCAGTCTACTCTTTTTTTTTTTGTTTAAAATTAGCACAATCTTTTTAAGGTATGACATACTTTTCTAGTGAAATTACATTCAACAAACAAACTGCCTTTAGTTAGGATAATAAGCTTGTCCTCTACAATTAAAACTGTTTTTAATTTCCAGTCGTAACCATCTGTAGTCGTCCAGGCATGTTAAGGTAGAGGAGGAGATTTAAAATCCTAACCTCAAGGTGAAGAAACATTAAGTTGTCAAGTTGATTTAATTAAGTTGCCCAACTTGAATCTAGTTTTAAATCAAGTAATGCAGAAATGTGAGTTTAAACTACGCAAAATGTTAAGCTGATGCAATTTCTAGCGGTATTAGTATCAATCCAACCCATCAAAACAATGTGTAAGGTTCCTCTAAACCAGTAAATTTCTTTTTTTTTTTTTAAGTCCTGCTACTGTGCATTTAAAAAAGTGTCAGGAATTACTTTATAGAGTTAACTTTTGTGCTACTGCAAAAGCCCATTTCTCAGCAGATGGGGCCAAGGCGTTGCTGTTTAATTACTGATAACCTAGAATGGACCTGTAAGTGTGTTTATGTGTGTGTGTGTCCTTTGAACGTCCCCTTCTCTCCTGCTCAGTAATCATCTGACTATGGACCTAGACAACAACATCAATATCAACCTGCCACCCATTGAGAACAAGGTGTTGATGTGAGTATCTTTTATCTACAGCTAAAAAGGAGCAGTTATTATTACAGACTATGATTCTTGCTCCAAGTCAGTAGCTCCCAGCCTGAGGTTCAGGACCCCGCCACAGTATCAGGAAATAAAGCTGACATGTCACAAAAACATCACCAATATACGAGAAAAGGGGCAAAAGCTGCTTCGGTTACACAAAATTACATTATTGTTTGGCTTGGTGGCTTTTTTTTCTAAAGCTGGCTTTCTCCTCTGTGAAGTAACTGAAACAGTCTAAGGTCATAATGATGAATTTTGCAGCTCGTGGATATACTATTTGTGCAGTAATGAGGGTTTTCAAGTGTGCATTGTTCAATTTTAGGGGTCACTAGCCAACAGTGCTGGGAACCACTGCTTCAGGTTGTATTACAGTATGAATAGTTTGAGATTGGATGTATTGGAGATTGGAAATATAATACATGGACTCTCATGACTGATTCAGTGTTTTATCGACTGAATTGTAAGTGAGCTCGCAGATGTTAATCTAGCAGCTGAGAAATGCATCAGCCAAATTTCTAAAAGCCTAAATCATCATCGACACCTGTTTTTATCCTGTATGTCGTCTCTTCGTCACCACGTGCAGTATTCAGCGGGCTTGGCGCGACTTCCTGCAGAGACAGGAAGTGGAAAAGAGGAGTCCCTCTCCGCCCTCCCTCTCCTCCTCTGACAAGATGAGCATGTCAATCAGCATGATGACCCTGTCAGATGGCAGCACCCCGGTAAGTCATGCCCATGTCAAACATGTTCTCCATTACAGATTTGGGGCATTCAGACGACATGACAGCGTGTCACATGTGTGATGGTTTTCATGGAGGCTGTGTGTCTGAGGATGCGTGTCATGCTGCTCAGACGGGTGGACACATGACGGCTGTTGCGGTTTGTTTTTTTGTTTTTTCCTGTTTGTTGCAACCGTATGTGCAGACGTGTGGTATAAATGTGGATCATATGGAGCGGGAAGAAAAAGCATCTAAACTCTTTGGGTTGACCTGGTTTTCTGCTGTAACTTGTCGCAGAATGTTAGCTGAGCTTTAATCTCGCTGAGTCGGACCCTTCTGCATTACAAAACATCGATGGGTGAATGGTTTTGGTGGAGCATTTGCATGCAGGGAGGTGAGAACTGTGATAAGGATGATTAATTAACCAAAACATAGCAATAGCTGCCTTCTGCACAATCCAAATCCTCACCAAAACTTTAATTTTACAGTGCGTTGTGCTCACCCAAAAGTCACTGTTGTTGTTTTCCGTGTTGAAGTGGATGTTAAAAATGGTGCTAGGCAGATAGGGGAAGGGGAGGAAATGCCATATGAGATGCAAAGCCAATGACAGGCTTCTACCCGGAGTCTACATCTGGTAAGTCAGACTATCTGAGCCTGAGCTAAGTACAGTCAAACACTATGTGCTCAAGCTCTAACACAAAAACATTTGTTAACTGTTGTATTTTTGTGGAACATACTCAGCATCTGCAGTGGTGGTGGAAACAGTAAGCAAACTTTTGGATTCAATAACTGGTCAAATCTTTTTTGGCAATTGTAGCCCCCAAAAAGCGGGGGTGATTTTGCCAACAGCTGAAGATCAGACCTGCACAATGTTCAGGAGGAACCATTTTTTTTTATAGAAGAGTTGCATCTCAGTCATATTCTTAGGAATCCTGGTGGAACAGCTCCCTTGAGGTCATTCTTTCGTGTTTCTATTTGGCTGAGGTCTGATCTCTGACTCGGTCTCTCCAGATTATGGATTTTCTTTGTTTTAAGTTCATTTATGGTAGATTTACTTCAGTGTTCTAGGGTCGTGGTGTCTTTATATCATCCAACTTCTACTGACCTTCAGCAGATGGACAGCCACCTTGGCAGTACACTGTAGGACACCTTGATATACCTGGGAAGTAATTGTCTCCTTGATGATGGCAAGCTGTCCAGAAGCAACCCCAAATCACGATGCTGCCTCCTCTGTGCTTCTCCTTTTAGATGAATGCCAGACATAGTGGAGCGTTAGTTTCATCAGTCCTAAAATCTAAATGTTTCCAGTGTTGCTGAGTGTCCAGGTGCTGATATCAAATGTCTGGTGTGCAGCAGTTTCCTCTGTGGTTTCATGCCGCCATGCCCACCGCACACTGCTCAGTGATTTGTATATAGTCGACTCATAAACAGAGATGTTAACAAGCTCCAATGACTACTTTAAGCCTTTGGTGTAACTCCTGGGTTCTGTTTTACCTCATTTATCATTCCGTGTTGTGCTTTTGGTGTCATTTGCGCTGGGCACCCCCTTCTAGGAGGAGCAGCGAGGGTACTAAATCACTGTGGTTACTTTGAAACGCTTTGCAGCTTTATGCAAATCAACCATTCTTGATCACAAGTCTTTTTTTGTGAGACATCAGTACATGTTTCTTGTAAATATTAAGCTCAGAGTGTTTATTATATCTAAAACTAGCTCTAATCCGAAGAATTAGTCTTGTTTCACTAATTAAACTCATGATTATGGTTACCTTTTTACTAAAGGTGCTTTTTTTTCAACCTACACTTTACATGTTTAAATGATCTTCAGTGTTGACATGAGCAGTGCAATGATTGTGTTTTTAGTTAAAATGGTATGTGTAATTATGTTTTTCCCCAGTTGTAACTTAGATATAGATCTGATCATACTGTATGAGAAATTTATACCTAAATGCAAATAATTCCAAATGACTCACTAACTTTTTCTTGCCACTGTGTTAAAGTTATTTTAGGTTTTGTGCTGCCTTGTGGGAAGAATATGAAATGCTTCATATAGTCCCATTCCTGTCCAGAAGGGGGCAGTAGCTCTTAGATCATTTCTTCTCTATGCAAACTCACAGCCAGCCTCCTCCAAAGAGTAAATATACAAGGATGTGGTCTCACGTATACACACACATTCTCTCACAGCGAGAGCACACTAAGAATTGAAATCTGCGCAACAGCCATTCTCATGCTGCACATCTTTCCATCTTCCATTTAACCAGACCACAGTAAATCCCCGGGATTTTCTCTGCTGCGTCTGTTGTGGTCATTATAATTCTATACTGACGTCGTCTGCAGCCTTCTGGCTGAATAGCAAGTGTGTGTACACTTCTCTACTAATCTCTGAGCCTGAAGTCAACAGGCAGGTTAAATCTCAGAGACGGCTGGGAGAGTTCTGTGTATGAGCACACTTAGGTGGTACTTGTCCACTCAATCGCTACAGAGAAAAGCTTTTACGCTGAAGAAGACTGTTTGATTTGGATTCTTGTGGATAAAAGGAGGTCAGATGGGTTATGAGTGAAGAGAATTCAGAGCGGTGAGCAGCAGGAATAAATGTATGCTGTCTTCAGAGCCGGCAGGTAACGCATAACCTGTGCAGCTGGTGGTGAATGTTCAGGCCGGGAAGGCTGCGGATGAAGTCATCAAGCATTGTTTAAGTTTATACAGTACACACACATACAGCAAACACACACACACACCTACACACACATATAACAGACGCTGGTTGTGTTTGAGATCCTTCGGGATGACAGGGAAATGCTTAGCTCAGTGACTTAGACCTGCTGACAAGGGCAGATGATCATCAGTGAGAGAAAGAGAGCGCCAGAGAGAGTCTGTCTGTATTAAGACCCTAAGGTCAAGGGAGATAGAGGAGGAAAGGAAGATGAAAAACAGACGTTGGTTCACCGTTGAATGTGCTGATACTGTAGATCTGCTCTCCTGTGTTAGAAAGGAAGGCTCAGCTTCTGCTCTCATGTGATTTCATGGCTTTTTTTTTTTTTTTTTTTTTTTAATAAATCTGATTGATCACAATAGTCCAGTAGCATCTTGCTGTATTATCTTAACGCCGTCTCGCTTCACACACTTTCTTCCTCTGTCTATTTCTCTCTGTTTCTTTCATTGTTCTTTCTTTAGAGGAATGTTTTTGCTGGATGTGACAGCGCCGCCCTGTTTGAATTTCTAACAGTTTCTTTTCTGTTGACCCAGCAATACATTTTCACCAGTGTCTATACATTCATAGATGCACACACACACACACACACACACACACACACACACACACAGGCACACCAGGGATGGAGTCATATTTTCTTGAGACACAGTGATGCGGAAGCCATCTCTAAAGTGATTGAATTTCTAACCTTTGTGACTGTAACATCAGTCTTTGACAAAACGTTGCTGCTTGACGCTGCAGCACGCGTTTGAGTTTGTGTGCGTGCATGAAACCAGGTCCTCGTATGGGTGTTTTTTTTTGTTGTTGTTTTTCCCCCCCTCCTTCCATCCTCATATGTTTTCAGGGGGGATGACTGTACTGTTCTCAGCAGAAAAACACGGTTGACATGCGACTCTTTATTGTGTAAATGATCTTGCACACTGTAACTTAGCTCACCTCATTGCCATGGCAATCCTGCAAAATAGAGCAGCTCTGGATATCTCTCTTTATGATCGATCCCTCCGCTCTATAGCAACACCATAGAGGGAGGCAGAAATTATAGGTTTCATTAAAGAGGAACCTAACAAAACTCTGGATTTTTATGCTCAGATATGAATCAGCTGTCTAAATTTTATTGTTTCATAATACTGTGCTGCGTCAACACAGCCAGCCGGACCACCTACACACACAAGAGTGAGGATTGTGCACGCGCAGACACGCAGGCCACTGCAGCTTCAATTTTAGACTGTCTACATGATAGATGTCTTTTTATAACCAGACATCAATCAATACTGTTTGGGGACTGGCTGAAGTGTTTTTGTAGTGGGATTGCCACTGAATTACTTGTGTAATGAGGATGAAAACAAACATCTAATGAAGAAGAGCTTAAAATTTATATGAGAAGTGTGTTTGTTGATGCTACAGATTTGAGGTGTCCTAATCCTGGTTAATGTAATCCTTTTTTTTTTTTTTTGTCTTTAGTTTTTAGCTTATTGATGGAGTGCGTTTTGATTAATGGAGCTGTCCACTGCCTTTGGTGCTGATATATGATGTACAGTGTAGTAGCTGAGTTCTGCCACTAGAGGGAGGTCCAGTATCATAGTGGTTTTATTTTATTTTATTTTTTTTTATTTTGCTCTTTGTGGGGTGTGATTGGAAGAAAGCGCACATGTTGACATTTTTGGGAACACTACAACCTCAGAAATGTAATTACGGCTGCAGTGTGTATTTCACTTGTCTTTGTAATCTGTGTTCAAGTATATCTGGTAAAAATAATTCATCGAAAATCCAACAATAGCACCAAAAAAAATCGGAATAAAACATATTGTAGATTAGGACAACAAGTGTCGGTCCACATCACGATGGCACAGAGCATGTATTTACTTTGCAGAATTGTGCAAAACAGACATGTGTTTCAGTGAATATATATATAAATGTGTGTGTGTGTGTTGGCTGGTGAAGGGCACAGAGGGGCAAATTAGTCCATCTGGCCTGCTAAGGTGCAACGAGACTGGGCAGAGCAGAGCAGCACCGTCTTCCCTGTCTGCCAGCTGTCATGCGTCTCCGTCTCTGCCCTCTCCATCAGGGCTCTCTTAACATCTCCCTCCTCCTTTTTTTTTTTTTTTTTTTTTTGTCTGTCATGTCACAGTTT